CTCATACTGACTGACACGCCCAACCGCCACGCCCGAACTAGAGTATATCTACCTTACCTTACAAATAAGCCGAGCCCGTTTCCTTGTAGCTTCTGCTTCCATAAACCTTGTATGAATAGCGAATCAGGGATCGCTGCTCGAGAGACAATCGTGCTATCTCTTTATGAAGGGCATCCACTTCTGAAAAAGTTATTCTACAATGTTACTCGTTCCTGGAAATATTCAAATCGAGTCACAGTGTACGGTACGGATTTTACAACACAGGGGAGGTAGAGGAGGGTTCTAGCTGGAAGCGGAATGGAAGGCTACTCTCTAGTAAAGCACAGCAGTTTGACTGTTTCATACTGTTGAACCGAGAAAGGGAACTCGTTTCTGCCGCTAGACGGTTTCTCGGGAGAGGGAGGGGATTGTCGTACGTTGAACAAGATTACGCAACACTATGACTTGCCTCTTCCTTATCTCAGAAAAGATGAAAATAGACGCTTACCAACTTTGGAGTTATTGCCGTAGATATTTGCCGATGTGGTGGTCATAGCGAACGTAATCCTCGTAAAGGCTGAAGCAAAAGTGGGAGGATTGCCTGTCAATTACGCCCAGATGAGGGTCCGGTGATAAGATGAGAATCGCATTAGTGTGGGCCTTACGTGGTTGACGTAATGTGTAGTGAGTCAGGTGATCTCCACCTGCTACGGAAAGGAAACGACTAAGTGAATTCCGATTACGAACGATGTCATGTACAGCTCATTCGTGGAACAAGATATGAGTGATCTTTGAATAGATTGATTAGGAAGTGCGCGTCACTTCTTTACCATCCTCTTTCTCTGGACCATTAGGCGCATTTATCAGGTTCGCGCGACAACACGCTCGTAAAGTTTCTGAGCCCGACTGGTGCTTTTTAGCCATTTTTTGCATACCCCGTCTAACTGGTTTCGAAGCACTTCCTATTCACCACACATCAATCACGTTGATAAAAGCAAGAAAGAAAGGTGCAAAAAGGAAATTGAAATTTGCTGTGTTAGACGATAAAGTGCGCCCTATACTCCAGAAAATAGGGTTATATTGAACATATAACCCTATTTGGGTTACACATATACGTGCGTTGGATTAGGTTTGGAATAGTC